CCAACCGACTTGTTCGAAATGAATAGTCGAGTCGAGCTTCGTGTGAAAACTTTGCTGGAAGGGAGTTTGCATGCCACCATTTTGAATGAGTCTTGGAGGGAGATGCCCATTGACGGAGTGGCGCACATGTTCAAACGCATTCTAATCGCTCTCACTCTTAACATGCACACGCATACATTCATATAGAGGAGAAACTAAAATTAATAGAGAATGTATTCTGAGACTATCACACTAGTTTTAAAATAAGAATATTGATGAAATAGAATTTTCACCTAAAGGGTGTCTATCGTCCTTCGGCTTCCGCTGAGGCGAATTCTCGAATATTTCCCAACCAAATTTTTCTTAAAAATGAATAGTTGAGTTACATTTCATGTGAAAATGTTAGTGTAAAAGAGTTTAGATGCCTTCACTTTGTGCCAATTTTGAAGCGGTAATCCCAGAAATGGAGTAGGATATTTGTCTAGCTACATTCGCATCACTCTTAATCTTGACATTTACGCCCAGACATACACATGCAAGCAAAGGAGAAACGAAAATTCGGGTAGGTTTCGAGTTTGTCAGAGATTACATACCACTCCATTCGGCCAGTCTTGAAAGGGGACACCCAGTGATGCAATGTTACGCTTGTTCAGCTAAATTTCATACATTTCTTACTCGAAAATCACACACATACCTACACAGGCCTACACAAAAGAGGTGAAAATTTCGTGTCACAGTGAGTAGATTTCGAGACTGTGTGTAGCTCTTTCATAACAACTATGCCCATCTTCGGTTGGATAAGATGTTACAGAAAACTTAGTTGAGTCTTCCTTCTATGGACTAAATCGACCTCACGAAGTCAATGAATTTCACATTTTTCATTGATGAGTACATTTTCAAGTCTCTCAGTATATCACACATATATATATATATATATATATATATATATGAATGTGATATAAAGTATGTGATATGGGAAAAGTCATGGCCTTCCTTGAAATTCATAGCGTTCCTGTGGCCCGAAGGCACTCGAGGCAGTCTGGAGTAGTGGTTACTGTGCAACACTATCACAACCCGGATTCGACTCCCACTGGTAGGATGAGATGTATTCACCCTATTTCGTGTAAGCTGACGAAGAACTGATACTCGAATGTTCCAACAATCTGATGAATAGGCCTCATGCTTCCATCTAATTTCATATAACCTTGCCTCTCAAATGATGTTTTCATCCTGGCTGGGGTGGACTGCAGTCGCTACCTCGTCTAACCTGGTCTTATCAGCACCCACCAGTGGGACTCGAACCCGGGTTGTGGTAGTGCTACTCAGAGTTTTGACACAGTAACCACTACTCCAGACTGCCTCAAGTGCTCTCGAGCCACAGGACAGATATG